TCTCCATCACAAAGTACCAATTTTCCTCATTTTAACAGATAATATTTTAAAAAAAAATTTCGGGGATGCTGACCTCGAGCCCCCGCCCCTTCAACTCCGGGACCCCCCTAGTTTGAAGGGCTGACTCCGTCCCTGCTCATACATGCTTTTTGTCTATACTTGCCAAAACAATATAATGGTTGCACATGTAGAACAAAGCTAATTATTAATATTTTTTCGTTAAGATTGCAAAATAACAGCCAAAGAGATCAGTGAAAAACATGCATTATTGATTTATAGCATTTCCCATGCTATCAATTGTAGCCATTGAAGCAATAGACACCAATAATGGATCGATTCTCCACCACCGTGCAGTCCTGCATTGAAGTGTCACATATTCAGAAACATCAAATAATTCAAATCAAGCACACAAGGGCAAGAAGTTGAACGAGATAAATGTGTTCCTTAGACGAAGGATCTCATTTCAAGCCTAGACACGGCTCTTACATTAACATATTAGAAATTGAAACAAAAGCTTTAATCGTTTATGTTGAATACCCTTGGCCTATAGNNNTATGTTGAATACCCTTGGCCTATAGCTTATGACACCCTTTGCAACCATCCCGTGGCACGTCTCGGATCTTATTATTCCCTATAAACTTGAAGTGACAAAAATCCAAAAAAAGTGACAAATAATATTTAACAGCAATCTAAATAGCATTAATTTTATGTCTCATCAAAATTTTAGAATAGATCGAGGAGATGGTGAAGTCACAAATGTACAATATCAGAATTTGACAATCCAATTAAAGAACATGGGTTGGGAATTTCAATCGACAATTTCAGGTATCTCCACATTTTGTCAAGTTCTTCAATAAAATTTCATGTAACGGACATAATCAACTACATTCCAATCAGCAATATGGGGAAATAAGATTAATTTCAAATCCAAAAATGTATTTACACATTAATAATGAACATCGCAAGATCTTAAATAGATCACAGGTGCTCACATTGTAAAACGACATTAATCTCATCTAGTTACTTAGTTTTAAGGGCGGACACAAACATTTTAGGTTAGAAAGGGACAATCAAACTCTATACAAATCGAATACTTTATTCTTGATTTTAAAATAATTCATACTTGACTTGAGATAATACAGATTTACATTTAAAAAACATTTATTCATTAATATTTTGCTAATTATTTTCATCCATTTGATTTCGAAGAGTTATTTTATTAATGTTTTGTTCACCACAAGAAAATGCATATTTAGGTTTAAAAGTCTTATGTTGTATTTAATACAAACGATCAATTCAAGTAATCGAAAGGAAAAACATATAACTAAAATCAATGCTAATAATCAATCAAATAAGCACAATTCAAAAACTACAAGTTAAATTGGATATAATGATTTTAGTTATAATACAGCTTGGATACAAGTTCACCGATCAAAAAACATGCACCAATCAAGACAAGCAGAGTGAACTCTCTGATGCCAATGATACCTAATCAAAGGAACTTGGTATAGATCAGTTGAACTAATCCTAAAACTAAAAGAAACACACACACACAGAGAGAGAGAGAGAGAGAGAGAGAGGTTTACATATCAACTTCATTGAATGTTGTGGGTTCGATTCTTGCCTCTAACAAAGTTTGAAATTGGATTCTTTGTGGGCATCAATATGACAACTCTTATACCCTGATCTGATGAGGCACATTCCGAGATTTACCTCATCCACGATACTCTAGGGGCGGGAGAGTGGGGGGCTCTCAAGGTTGGGGTTCAACCTTTAACAACGCAAATGTATTTTGAGAATCTTTCAATCGGGTGGCAACTTGTCTTCTGAGCCTTGTCATAGGCAACTGTCATATTGACAAATTCTAAAATTTTTGAAGCAAGAAAAATTAAGAAATCAATTGCTCAAATATAAAGCAATAATGATATTATTTCTTTTAAGCTTCAATATGTAATACAACAAGAAGAATATAGTACTCACTCGTCTTTCTCTGCCTTTAGGGAGCAGTTGGGGTTCTGTTGCAGAGGGTTTAGGAGGTGAAGTTTCTTTAGGCTTTTCTGTTACAGGAGCAGTTTACACTTTAGGCTAAGAATTAAGCTAACGTGCTAGAAAATGGTTGCCCACTTGGGTGACCAACCCTCACAAGGGTGTGGGACCGACGTGGGCCCCGCGTGAAATAAAAAATGAAAAAAAAAAGGCCTCCGTCAGGAAGGGAGCAGCTCGGTCCTTAGGCTAGGGCTTCTCCTTTTTCTTTTCAGCAGGAGGAGATGGCAGTGCAGCAGCTTTTTTCAAAATGTCAACAAGAAAGCATTCTCAACAATTTCAAAATGGACACTCAAAACACAAAACTCAAAATGAATTTAAGATACAAAACCGAAGCATAAAGAGAACAACTCATAATGTTTTGAAAAAATAAGGACCAAACATATGCATTTATCAAGGGTTTTTGGGTTAAACCCTGTAATTCAATTTCAGTTTTTTACAAAGAGTGTGTTTGAATCACATTATTTTAGAATAATGTATTTTGAAATAGTAGGGCCATGTTTGACACCCGTTTTGGAAAAGAATTTGATTTAGAATAGTGATTGATGGAAGAACGTGTAATTAAAAAGTAAGGAGAATTTTTTGATTTATGTGTAATGTTATTCTATGGATAGAATGTGTAGTTGAAATGAAAAAAGTGAAAAAAAATGAGAGAGAGAGAATGAGAAAAAATGGATGTCAAATAAGAGCTAGATTGATGGAAAATGTGTGGTTAAAAAAAGTTATTGATGTTATGGAAAATATTTTTTATTGAAAAATGTATAGTTAAAAATGAGAATACAATTTTACACTCCATTTGGTAGGCATTATTAGCAAATTTTAAGAAAAAAAATTGACCGTTAACTTCATATATGTAGGCCACATCCGTGAGATGGGAAGTCAAAAAATGACGGCTAACTGATTTGTAACAGCCAAAAAATTCATTTTTTCGGTCCAAATAATGGCTACCAAACAGCTACTCGACTCGAACATTAATATGTCAGTACCAAGAACCTAGCTTTCCAGTTTCCTCCTTTCAATGATTTCCCTAGCACACTCGACTCGAACATTACTCTGTAGCTTTAGGGCTGTTTGATTGCAAATGTGGAATTTGTGTGGAAAGAAAATGAATTACAGGGAATTGAATTGTCAAGAATTTGTTTTATTGGGAATTGTAATTAATTGTGTTTGATTGGTATAATTTTCCACTTGAAAAATGTTGAAATTTTGGATCTTTTGATATTCGTTTGACTTTGTTTTCCATAGAAATTGTTCATTAAAGGGAATTTTTTTTTTACAATTGTCCATAGAATTTGTTTTTATTGCCAAAAAATTAAAAAAAAAAAGTAGAAAAAGTAGCCTGGAAAACCTATTCTCACCAATGTGGTGGGAATTGGTTTTCCTTGAAAACCACGACTTAGGTGGAAAATGAGGTAAATGTGGAAAATGAATTTCATGGAAAATTTAA